CCGGGCAGCGCTGCTTCTGGCCTGTTCCCTGCGGCGCTCACCCCGGGTCCTGAGGGAGGAGATGCCCAGACGGGCGGGGGGCTGGCTCCCGGGAAGTGCGAGATGGAGAGTGAGGGCAGCATGCGTGCCCCCCCCCCCAGGTGCCCCTGGGGCCTAGGGGATGGGGACGGACAGGTTGGGGTTTAGGTCACAAGGCCCTTTGAATTCCCCAGGGCAGGCAAAGGGGTGAGGCCTTATATGCTGTCATTCTCAAACCTGAGGAGTCTAAGCCTAAACCAAGAGTGGACAGTAGATTTCATTGTAAACACAAGTTTGCCAGGGAAGGAGTCCGTGGGTTGCTTATTTTCTCTCTCTCTACCTCAGTTTTTTATCTGTGAAAATGCAGACAGTTCCTAGCTGGTAGAGTTATTATGAGGAATAAGAGTATCTCTTGGTAAGTGCTACCCCCTATCAGTCCTGCTTTTATTAAATTAGCTCGGGTGGTGCTCACATACCTGCAGGGCGTGTCAGGCCCAGGCTAGGTGCCCAGCGAGCGGGAGCCTCCAGTGGGTGGGCCCTGTGAACGGTTCTGATGCGGAGCCAGGGTCGGGAATGGATGGGAGTAAATAAGAAGGCTTCCCTGAACTCAAGAAAGGCCTCGGCTGGCTGGGGAGACATACAGGCCACAGTGTGGTCGGGCTGTGCCTGATGCCGCCTGCAGACGCTGGGGGCCCAGGGACAGCCGCCTGTGGCCTGCCGGCTCCCAGGAGGGACGCTTTTTTAAAAAATATATATTTTATTGATTTCTTACAGAGAGGAAGGGAGAGGGATAGAGAGTTAGAAACATCGATCAGCCTCCTCCTGCACGCTGCCCCCCACTGGGGATGTGCCCGCAACCAAGTACATGCCCTTGACCAGAATCTAACCTGGGACCCTTGAGTCCGCAGGCCGACGCTCTATCCACTGAGCCAAACCGGCCAGGGCAGGAGGGACGCTTTTGCTGGGTCCTGATGGGAGGTGGTGGCGGGGAGGGAGGGGGCCCTGCAGGTCTCAAAGAATGTGGAGTACTGGGCATCTTGAAATCTGGAATCAGAAGCTGAGAGATGTTGTGCAGTTGCAGCATCCGACGCATGGATTGGAGGGGAATTTAAGAGACAAGATTAGGGAAGTGGGCCAGGACCAGATTACGAAGGTTTTATCATGGTGCAGAAGTCTGGGTTTAATTCTGTGTAAACAGGTTCAGTAGTGTAAGCAGATTCGTTCCTAGAAATGTAACTAAAAGGTAAGTGGGAGTGTGGACTAAGGCCACTGGGTCAGCAGGAGTCAGAATTGGAGCTTTGGCAACCAGGAAGGCTGTCCTGTGTGTCCCCGCAGGAGGAGGCCAGGGGACGACCCGGTGCTTGGGTGGGAGGCAGGGGCTGGGTGCGCAGCTGAGGGTGGGACGGGAATTAGCGGCGTCAGCCCTGGAGATGGGAGATGGGAGATGGGAGATGGGAGATGGGAGCTGCGCTGCATCTGGGCGGGGAGGAGGCCAGGAGGGGAGCGCATGGGCACTGCTGGCGGTGGCTTCCGTCTCTAACCGCACAGTGGCTGGTAGCAGAGGAAAAGCATTGCTGAATGTTGCATTTTTACATTTGTTTTCGCTTGCGGTACGTAAGCTTTAGCCTTTGCAGGAATTGAGGCATGTTAAAAACAAAATTCTTAATTACAGAAATCTTAACTTTCATTGATATTGCCACAAATCATAGCATTTCAAATGACATTTAATTACATTTTTCATAAATGTATATATTTGAGTAACTGAAACTTAAAATAATTTTGTCTTTTAAAATAAGTTGAGATGGCAAGTAGCAGATGCTAATTTTACCAGATTCATGTTAATTTTTTAAAATAATCACTGGAGAAATTGTTATACATCTTTATTTACAGGATTTTTACCTCCTATAACTCCGCCAGAAAAGTTTTTTCTTTCCCAGCTAATGCTGGCACCCCCAAGGGAACTCTTCAAAAAGACACCCCGGCAGATCGCACTGATGGATGTTGGGAACATGGGCCAGTCTGTGGACATTAGCGGGCTTCAGCTAGCCTTGGCTGGTAAGGAGGGATGGGTGATTTGGGCATTTTTGTGTATTATATTAGGAGTTTTTTCTTAAGTTACTCCACTTAACATGCAGGTCTGTGGCTGTGCTAAAAGATTAGTATTTTCCTTGAAAAACATAGTTCCGGTACTTTTGCTGGGTACTGATGGGAGGCGGTGGTGGGGAGGGAAAGGAACTTGGACTATTGGATGTCTTGAAATCTGGAATCAGAAGCTGAGAGATTTTGTGCAGCTGGAGTGTAGGATACATGGATTGGAGGGGAATTCAAGAGACAAGAATAGGAAAAACCTTCATAATCTAGGTTCATTTTGAGTTTTCACTTGAATGGATTGCTTTTTCAATTTAAGAAGAACACTGAATAAAATTGTTTGTTAAAAACATAAAATAATGTTCCTCATGCCAGTTTTGCTCAAAGTGAGATCACACATTCAATGCAATTCCTATAAAAGGTATGTTTTGCAAAAATAGAAAAACTCATCATAAAATTCATATGGAATCTCAAGGGATGCTGAGTAGCCGAAGCAGTGTTCTCTGGGCACCATTGTTGAAAATGGTTTGGCCGTATATGGGAGGATTTATTCCTGGCACTTCTGTTCTGTATCATGGCTTCTGTGTCTGTTTACTCCGGGGCCACCCTTCTGAGAATAGTGGCTCTATAACGAGTTTTGAGAATAGGAAGTGCGAGACCTCCATTTTGTTCTTCTGTTTCAAGATTGTTTGGGCAACTTCTGTGCTACACATATAAGCAAATGCATGGGCACTGTTGAAACAGAAGTGTGATGTGATAGAAAATAGGGTACCTTCTTGAACTGGGTAGAAGGAGTGAAGGAGAGGCACCTGCTTGCTTGCTCTAAGCAAAAACACAGATGCTCGGGTCTTATGCTTGAGGGTGATTCGCTAGGGAAGCTGATATGTAGCCAGATTGGTGGACCCTTGGCCTTGTGATTAAATGAGCCACAGTATTGATTCTGACAGGGCCCCAGTCGTAGACTAATGCACCTGTGACATTTGGCTGCTTATATAAGGTGACATCTTTCCGCAAACTGCGTTTTCCTTGCAGCATTCTGACCTCCTTTTTTAACTGCTGGGTATTAGCAGTATAATAATGGTTATTTTTTGAAATCCAGAAAAATCGTTTCAAGACTTTTCAGATTGAAGGTACACAGAAGTGCTTCTTATTCTCTAGTGCCAGATACAATCTATTAACAGAAATAAAATGATTATTTCCAAAACCAAAGATAGTATGAAAATGGGGTACAGAGATGGTAGACAATTTCAAGGACCTCACCTTCAGAAGTAATACATAGCTTGAGGATGCTAGCTTTGTATTCAGTAATGTGAGAATCAAATCTGATCCCTCAACTTATGATGACGAGTCAGCCTGTGAGAAGTTTTAAAGTATGTCAAGCTCAGAAAGGAATATATGACTAGAGTAGGACTGAGAAGCTTGGCCGAGTGGCTGGCCAAGCCTGCTGCTGCGGTCCCCTACCCAAGTTTAAGATGTCACAAGCCATTCATTTCCCAAGTGGGGGAAGAAAAAGCCAAGTCCACCTATCTTATCTGGTACTAGTGACACAGATCATCTTTGCAGAGGCCTGAGATTCCGATCTCTCAGTGGGATCCATGGACCAAAGGTGTGAGTGAGTGAGTGAGATGTGTGTGTGTGAATCCAACCAGAAATGGAATTGCTGGATCATATGGTTGCTCTATTTTTAATTTTTGAGGAACCTCCATACTGTTTTCTATAGTAGCTGCACCAACTTACATTTCTTCTAACAGTACACGAAGGTTCCCTTTTCTCTATGTCCTTGCCAGCATTTATCATCTCAACTTTTTAAAATATATATTTTGAAATTTAAGAATTAAAAAAAATATTTTTATTGATTTCAGAGAGGAAGGGAGAGGGAGAGAGAGATAGAAACATCAGTGATGAAGGAGAATCATTGATCAGCTGCCTCCTGCATGCCTCACACTGGAGATTGAACCCACAACCTGTGCATGTTTCCTGATGGGAAATCGAACTGTGACCTCCTGGTTCATAGGCCGAAGCTCACTGAGCCACACCAGCCAAGCTTTTTTT